GAAAAAAAATGTTGCATGCTACTGATTGATCTTTGCAATGCTAATTTTAATTACTGGGAGCGCTTCAAAGCTTTTGAACACCTTAGAACCGGAAAGTCTGAAACTGCATTAGTTTCGGCCGCCATTGCAAGGAAAGGAAGGTTGCAGCTGGATCGGTGCTGGACATCACCTTACGCCCATGTACAGAGCTTTTTAAGCTTTTTTAAATTTGTTTTTATAGACGCGTGCAGAGTAAAACTCTCTTTTACCGAACAGTGCTCGCCAGAAAGAGCTTTTTTCACCTTGTGCATGTAATGTATATGGAGCTTAAAAAAGCACAGCAAAGTTGAAGAACTTCCGAGTTTTTTACTAACGCGGTTTTAAGAGTAGTTTTAAATATCATTAGCTTCGCCCGGTTTGGAAGCATCTGGATCAGAGCTTTCACTTCATGCATACCGAGCGCAAAAAAATAACCGCACGCTTCGACTATTATCATTTAGATCGGCGCAGGGCATCAATCGCTTTGACCGCGTGAAGAGCTTTTTTAAGCTTTCTTTACATTTAGTACAGACTCGAGTAGAGTAAAAATTTCTTGACACTGGTCTATTTGATTGTTATAGAAGCGTCGCCTGATCACTTGCCACCCCATTAGTGCTGAGAGCACCATGTTAATACGCTTTCTCTGGAATCTCTGATATTATTTGCTGTCATGGTTCGATAGTTTCGTCACAGGTCCGTAGGGTCTGTCGGGTTTGTAGATCTAAAATAGAAATAGAAATAAATAGAGTAAGCACTGCGGCCAGCAAGTTTATTGTGTCCTCAGCTCATTACAACACTGCATCTATGTAGTCCCAAACACACTATAAATTTTTGAATAAACCCTATGGGCAGGGAGTGTAAGAGCTCTTCTCTTGGCCAAAAATAGCGAAATAGATCGCTTGACTAGATCCCTAGCTTATGCCAGAGACCTCTTAGCCTACAATGACGCTTCAAAATACCTGTAATAATCCCTAAACTCTCCTTGAATAGGTTTATGAGAACCCTATATTTCTTTAGATTGCACCCCCCAATGCAGTTCCCTCAGTTTGGTATTTTCATTTCTATTATCGTGTTTGGACCTACCACAAGGAAGGGTTCAGATCCTGTCGGGGTCGTCGTAGCAGTCATTTTGGCTCATGCATCGTGGTTGGATAGCATTGTTCTCAGCCAGGGCATTAAGCTCCTCTATACACTCCACGACCAATGAAAAATTGACCTCAAGCGTGAGAGAGCCAAGAGTACCGCCTAATATAAGGATCCTCTCACTTAGATTTAGGGATTTTTACCAAGTTAAATGGTTACATTTTCGTATAAATAATTTGATTAATCAAATTTACCTATTTGATAAATTCTTTTCTATTTCCTCCATAGCTGATGACGCCTATGACCCCTTCGATTGCGAAAAGATGCAACAGGTGAGGGAGAAAATTATTTGTCTTAGCGTATGCGTGGCCAAGAAGTTTGATACCATCGATGAGAATGGCAAACTAAAACGTGATGTTATTCTAGCAGAAATGCGCAAGCAAATCGGTGACGTACAATGGAAGAAAAACGCTGTGGAAGGCTATGTTGACAAATGTCTGGCTGAGGTAAAAGTACGGCATGAGCAACGCGAGAAGGAAGGCAGACTGGGTCAGGGTTGCAGTCGTAATCCATTGACCTTCCAAAACTGTATGTGGCGTGAATTCTGGAACGGTTGCCCGGCAGAATTGCAAGTCGACTCGCCAAAATGTAATAAATTGCGTGAACGCACTACGGCTGGTAATACACGATTCTTCGGTAAACATTTAATCTACAAATACTATCCCAGCCCATATGATGGTGAGGGTGTGGGTGGTATATGAGTAGGGTATAACGATATGCATATAAAAATTTTTTCAATTGAAAAGAATTTAGTGTTATTGAAAAACGGCAAATAAATCAAATGAAAGCAATTAAAAAGTGTAATAAAAATCGTTTTACTCTAATAGAAAATATTTTCCACTGACTACACCCGCAGCTCACTCATCTAAATATTCATTGAATTCGGCATTTAATGCATACAGTTGCAGCAATAAATCTACGTGTACAACAACAAGAAATATACTATGTATGTATGTAGTTTTCGCGCATATATTCAAAATCCTTTCGGCTGCATCCAACCATAGTTGCACTCTCATTTGCCTATCAAAGGCCGTGCGAGTGCATTGTAAGCTGCCATTGCAGGCAGCTTCAGCATCAGCTTCAAATTGAATATGCATGCAAATGCGTCAGTAGCCATCAGCATACCGGCATACCGGCACACCGGCCCATCGTTCCTTGCCGCTTTTGACTCTTTGTGTCCATTTGGCAAAGCGGCAGCCATCCGTTTGTGATATCCGGCATTGCAACAAATTGACTTAACAGCGTCCTTATGATTAAGTGCACACTTTTGGTTGAGTTTTTTGTTTTAGCGCCAAGGGGGTTTCTGTTTTAGTGTTCCGTATTTTTTTTTTCTTCGTTTTCCTGCAGTTGTGCGTTTGCTGCTGCAGTCGATTAGAGTGAAATTTTTTGTTAAAGCTTTCAGTGATTTTGTGTGCTTTTTTTTGTGTACATATTTAGTCAGCAACCAGTCGCAAAACCAAGCAAACAACTAACTCAGCAGCACCCGCCAACCAACTAACCTACCAGCG